AGAAAAAGGATTAAGAGAAACACAGATAACGAAAAGTATTTTGTCTGAGGTCATTGTGGGCACATTTGGTTTGAGAGGTAAGACATTTCACCACTGGACTCTTTGCGAAGCGTTTGTCTTCTTGACTGTCCTCAGGACTTCTTCTCATTTTCCTCTGTTCTCTTTTCTCCAGCCTTTCCACTCCTCCGCAAGCTGCCGACTTAAGTTTGCTTTGGTTGTTGGACATGTTTTTCCAAAGGTCTGGCAAAAGCCTAAAATGCTTTTCAAAGGGATTTGTGGAATTTGTTCTGCTACTTTTCTTCTGGGTACTACATATCTCGAAGTGTGTGTATGTCGATGTGTGCATGTGTGTGCACGTTCAAAACATAAAACAAGCGAGTTCGTGACCTCACAAAACTTCTGTAGGATCTCCTTTAGCATATAGTCTGATCTATCAAAAGAACACTTGTTGACACCTGGATCAAAAACAATTACGGTACAGTTATTATAATCTAGATGTTTCATGATCTTTTTATTTTATTGTACATTAAATATGGCAGTAACTGTCACATCAATTAACCATTCCTCATTCATTCATTTCAAGTGTGACAATTATGGCCTGACGAGTTGAACTGAATTCGGATTTATATTCACATAGAGTTATTAAACCTTTGCACATGTATTCTTCAATCTTTCTTTATTGGAATCGTTATGTTTATAGTGTATGTTCTTCTAGTTTTCTCAAGAATCACATTTCACACACTTTACTTAGACCAATATTGGGTTTCAACAATTACAATGTTGGTTCAAAAACATTTCATTAGACATTTTCACAGTTTGTGTCACGTCTCTATCTTATGTCACTGGGTCTGCAGTAACCTCCAGGTCTGATTTTAGAGGAAATCTGCTGGATTGCTTTGCAGTAGAAAACACGATGAGGAAGCTATTCTTCATTTCAAACAGAGCTTTCAGCTTTTCAAAATAGCTGCTGGTGGAAGATGAGAAAAGCTGATGGAAAATCACTTTCAATTTTTGTGTGTGTTTAAAACGTGAGGAAGAGTATATTTTCTAGAAACTTTCTTAAGAACCAGGTTTTTCTGAAATCTGCTCTCACTTGGTAATACCACACAGGATATCACCATATTGGGGTATGCAGTCATAGCAACCATTTTACAACTCTTTTCCATCTCATTCACATGGATAGAGAGAGGTTTAAAGGTCTTACAAGGTCTGATAGTTTCTGATCTGTATATATATATCATTGCAGCTTGTTTATATTCAATGATTCACATTTGACGTCCTTTGTTGATAGCTAAAGGCTTTTGTAGAATAAATGCCTGTGTTAAATTTAGGAATTGAGAACAGTTTTGTAAAAATAAAAAATTATGACTGAGATTAGCCCTTGACCGGGTTAGTGCTGACATCAAAACTCAAGGAACAGCAAAATAAATTAAATGGTAACTAATCCTAAATACTAAGCATATGTTCTGATTGGTGGACAGTATTTAAACAACCGATGAAAGTCTGAACACATAAATGAACATAATCGTTTTAAACACTGCACCCACTGAACTGGAGACTGAGTGAGCACATCTGGTCCGTGGCTGTCTTTCTTTGTCTCTTTCTCTTTCCTCTGGACCTGTTTCAATACGTGTCTTTCATCTCTTCTCTCCTTTTCAACTGACACTCACCCGCCCCCCCCTCTGTATCCACTCTGAAACCACATCTCTCCTCCCCTCCCTCTCCCATTTCCTCTCCTCCCTCTCGCTGAGTGTGGCTGTCATCCCTCTATCGTGGCAGGTGAGGCCATAAAACAGCAGGCGAGGCCCCGATGAGGGCCCAGAGACAAGGTGTGTGTGTATGTGTGTGTGTGATTAATTATAACAGATATCTGAGCAGCTCCCATGCAAGCTGTGCACACAAACAGACACACGCGGTCATTAATCTGGGCCCTGTTACAGTGTGTTGGTGTGTTAAACAGTAACATCTCTGACTTCTGACCTCTGCTCTCTCACTCCCACGCATAACTCATCATTGCGCTTTCAAGGCCAGAAGTGTCCGTTTGTCTCTCAGCTGCTCTTACACAAATACAGTGCATGTACCTTTCAGTGATTTACAACATCTAAGTGATATTTGAGAGTGTAAGGTGTGACTCATGTGCATACCATGAGTGTTTTTGCTTAAATCCATTATCCTCGACTCCCCAGGTCTCACCTCTGTTGCCTTTCTCTCCCTACTGTACTATTACATTTATATTTATGTCCTATTGTAAAATAATACTCTAATACGAATGCATGTAAATGGTTCTGCATTACATTTAACCATTAGTCAAAGAAGGGAGAAAGCAAACAGAACTCACCCATATGTTCCTCTTATCATGCAGACCTGAAGGATGGATGTGTTTATCTAGTTTTAGGGGCATTTGTGCCTTTGTTAAATACAATACAGTAGAGATAATGACAGGAAAAAAACCCAAACCTGTGAGATTGCGATAACATGTAAACCTTTAGTTCACAGGGAGGGCCCACGTGCTTATATAAAAATGTGTAAACACCAAAAACAAAACCTGTATGACAGGGACAGAATAAAAGAGAGGGGAAGTGTTGAGGTGAGGAAAGGAAGGATGTAAAGGAAGAGTTGAAAAGTCCACAGAAGACAAGGGGTGAAAATGTGAAGACAGGAACTCAAAAGAACAGGAAGGGAGAATGAGGACAAAGGGAGGATATAAGAAATGAAACATGTCTGTAACTGATCAAACTGGCAGCTAAGGATGAGTGGATGCAAGGTGAAGTGCACGTGTGAAATAGACAATGGGTTGGTTCGTGTGGACGGTAGGGAATGGTGGGTTAGTGCGTTTCATTTTTAGGGAGATTTGGAAAAAGTGAGCAACAAGTGGTAAAAAAAAGAGACTCACAGGTGTGTATGTGGTTGACCCAGACTTCTTAAACATTGGTATATGCTTGCTGCCATTATGTAAAGAGTGTATATATATATATATACAAAAAAAAGGAAAAATGCTTTAAAATAAATTGGCTACCCTTATTTTAAATGGCTTTGAAAGTCTCCAGATTAAAGCATGTGCCTGCTCAAAATAAAATTTGCCTGAGAAGGGAAGCAGTATCTGTATAATAGCAAGGAGACAATGTTTATTGATAGATTTGTGTTTACCTCTTTATTAAATAAAATATAAAAGCAGTTAACATGATTGTTTGACCCCAAAAGGTAAAGTTATACAATCTTGAAAAAGCCATAGAAAACAATTGTTTTTCAACGAGGTGCACCAATGTGCGGTAAAACGTTATGGTCACGCTTAATCGACATAATTTCTTGATTTTTCTTGATATTCATATTTATTTATTGATAATTTTGGAATTGATTGTAGCCGGAATTTTTTTTCATTTAATCGTTTATTTGGCAGGGACAATGCACAATAATGAACACTTAAAACATTAAAATGTGTCAAGCGTAACAGTGCCAGATTTAGCTTTGAGCTAATTTCCATCCGCAAACATCAATTTGATCTGACTACAGCCCTGTGGAGAAGAACATTTTTACTGTCGTATTTCAAGCACAGAGCAAGAGTGTTTACTACTCTTTAGGGAGACTTCAGGGTGGAGTGTTGCTTTTAGCTAACACAAACTTTGTTCTTCCATGACTTGTAGGAGATGAGGCAACAACAACATTGAACAGCTATCATGATTCCCACTGAGAATCCATTTTATGTTAAGAAACCAGCACATCTGGCTTGACTGGCTTTGGTTTGTTGATGCTCTATGAATCCCAGCAACAAGTTAATCTCTTTTATTGAGTACATTAAATGAACGCTTACATGGTTTTATAATGCATAGCTAGAGGGTGATGATAACCCTAAATGTATTTATAGTCTTCACACTGCAAATTAGCCTTTTTAAAACAGCCTAGGATTATGGAGAATAATTTTAATGCAACAGAAGCCATTTATTTGTATAAAAGATGAATTTTTATAGTTTTTTGTTGATAGTTTTTTTCCCCTGGAATCAGTGAGATGGAGTCATCCGGAGAAATGATTGAAGCCAGGCACACTGTGGAGAACAGACAGAGGGAGTGAGGGAGTGAGGGAGGGAGGAGGTTGGGGTGAAACCGCAGATTTTATATGTTGTCTGGTTTTAATTTGGTAAGAGCCATCATTCACCAGTTCATTGAGGTGGCAAACCAGATGAGTGTGTGCATGTGTGTTCCAGGAGTGAGTGTTCTCTCTATTCCCTCACAGCTTAAACACAGAGAGCCCTGGATATGCAAAAACTCTGACACTTTGTCATTTATCTTTGTTCTTACAATTATTCAGAACTCAGCTACTTAAAGGAAAAGACAATGGGCTCAAAATAAGCCCAAGTAAAATGCTGGTGAAATAAACGTAATCTGTGGGTATCATTTGAAAAACCCCAAATGTTACCCTTGACTGTAAAAATGGTGCTGTTAAATATTAGCTGCCAATTCTGTGATAAACACTAAGTTCAACCTCACCACACCACAGACCATATTGGTTTATCCACTGTGGTAGAGGGCCAATCACACACTGCTAAAACTGAAGAATGCTCCAAGCAAAACGATACAAAAAAATCATGTTTTCTAGATCTGGGTACAGAAAGGGTGGACAGCAGATACCTTTGGAATTTTTTGGTCGATACCTTACATGTAGTACAGATACCCAGAAATAGCAATCAATTCAGTGGCGGGTAATATTCAATGTATTCACTAGCCATTTGGCCTGTGGACAAAGAAAGTTATATTGCACTTGGTTTAGAAACTTTTGGAAATGTTTTTTTTACTTTCTGATGTCGAAATAGATCAATAGATCCGTTAAATATCAGCCTGAAGCATAGCTAAACATAACAACTGGTAGTATGAGGAATGAGTTGACAAGAGGACAAGGTATCATCTCCGGTTTAACAGCATTTTATTTGAAGAACGTGTTGATATACAATTGTTGTCTTTTATAATTGTATCATTGTGTTTATTTCTATGTATTTGTTTATGTGTAGTGCCTTCAGCCATGCAAAGAACTGTGGGAAACCAGGAAGGTGCATTCACCAAAGTCGTGTGAGGTAAGACAAAAAGAGAGTGCTTAGCGTGCTTAGTGTGTGTGTGCTTAGTGTGTGCTTAGAGTGTGCTTAGTGTGTGCTTAGTGTGTGTCACAACACCCTGGGTGGCTGTGTCATTCCGGCTCCAGAAACATGCTTTCGTTGGCACCTTGAAGCTATTTTCTGACTGAGTATTTCTGTCTCTGTCTCTCTGTGTGTGTGTGTGTGTGTGTGTGTGTGTGTGTGTGTGTGTGTGTGTGTGTGTGTGTGTGTGTGTGTGTGTGTGTGTGTGTGTGTGTGTGTGTGTGAATAACATGTTTGTGAGCTTATACATGTGAGAGTGTAAAAGTTATGTGTATAATGTGTGTGGCCCTAAATGATTATTTATAAAGCCAGTCGCTGTGGTGTTCAGATTAGTTTTTCATCACAATAACTGAAGCATGTTACTGGTTGAATGGCTGGCCGGTTGGGAACACTGGGTAATTCAGAGCTATTAGCTAAAGCTAGTGTTTACATTATGATGGTCTCCAGCCATGTGAGATACAAACACAATAATACACACATGACCCCCCTTTCAGACCAAATCTCAAGGGCTGCCTTCAAAGAGTCAGTAGGAGTTTACCAAAGGAAACACTTTCACCTCTGCTGTGTGTTCTTCTGCCCTCATATGTGTGTTTATACATTATTTCTGTTGTCTTAGCTGTAATGATAACATCCCCCCCTGTTATTTTTCTCAGAAGCAGACCGAGTGTGTGACGAGCCGGGAGTTTCTGACCTCTCTGAGGTCATCTCGTCAGGGGGACTGCCCTCCGCCTCAAAAAGCCACCGGATTTGCTGCGGCCTGCGTGGAGAGCTGCTCGTCAGACCAGCATTGTCCCTCCCCCAGGAAATGCTGCTCTAATGGCTGTGGGCACACATGCCAAGCACCAGCCAATCTATATAAAGGTGAGGTTGGAGCTTGTTTTTATTGTTTATTGGCTGCTGAACTGATCGAGAGAACTTCTTTCAGGAATCAATTGTTTAAATTAGTATTTCACTCTGCTGATTCACAGTAACAATACTAATATTAATCTTTTGTTAAGCAGCCATTTCAAAAGTATTTCTGTCCGTTGAAAGGCTATCATTGGCCGACAGTGCTTATTATTAATAGCACTCAACATGCTTTTGGTTGTATTAGTGATTTGATGATTTCTAGCTCTTGTTTCTATGGTGTTTAAATGTATGTATGTCTCTTTGGTTAACAGAATATGCCACATAAATGTAATTGTAATTTAATGTAATAAAGATCCTTAAATACTGCCTGCTTGACTGCTTCTGAAGTCCCAGACGGCCGCGTTGTGTTTAAAAAGCTCCAGCTAAAGTCTGTGTGGAGCTAGTCAGGACTACAAACTGCCTCAGACGCCTATGTGGTGAAGATTGGACAGCCATAATAATTAAACCCAAAAAAATATTGTTGAGTGATTTTTATAATATTTGCTTTAAGTTGAGTTTCTGATCCACAAAATGTCAAAACTCAATCAAGTCATTGTATACTCCGATAACAACTGCTGCATGATTAATGGGATCATCCTATTTTTTAATGCACGAATGAACATGTATCATGCACTTATTTCCTTCAACAATTAATCTCAAAATCAGTTCCTGTTATTAGATGTTGTGTATATGTATTTTTACTAACTATCACTAATATTCAATAATAATTGTATTAATGTATTTTGTCATGTCCCCTCAGGGGTTCCTCTGAAGCCTCGCAGAGAGATGAGCTTCGTGGAGGATTCAGAGGGTCGTGTTCGGTTGGTGTGGGTCTCCAAATTTAATGTCAGCATTGAGCCGGTCGTCTACGTGCTCCAGTCCCGCTGGAACGCCGGGATCCATCCCAGCGAGGACCATGCCTCTCCATGGACTACTGTTGCCATGGTAATTTCACTGATCAGGAGCATTTCAACTTTAAAAACCGGGTCATTAGGATTTTAAAATATTTAAATAATAAAGCAGAATTCATGTTTTTGATCAATCTTTTCACATTTGAAGAGATGGTGATATCCTCCTCTCAATATTATTTGGGGAGATAAGCTGTGAAATGGGACGCTGATAGATAAAAATGTGACATGTCCAAGATTCATTGAAGCTATAAAAAATGCTTCCCTGTGCCTGTAACAGTGGGACAGCGCAACAAAGTTTGCAACATATCTTTAACTCATAACTCTCAATTTGCCTCGAATGATGAAACTTCTCAGCTATGGAGATGGATGTTAGACTTTGTTTCCACCTCATCAGTCTGCTGCCTTGCTGTCTAAACCTCTCCACCCCAGCCAGTCGCACATTCTGCCAGGGTAAACCCTGCGTCTGTGTGTGTGTGTATGAGTGAGTGTGTGCGTGTGTCTGTGTGAGGTTAGGTAAATAAGCAGAGCTTAAAAAGGAACCACAGGCAGCCACAGTCGTTCCACCGGCTGAGTCTGAATGACTGAACACTCATTATAGACTTAAATAGATGGCAGCTTGTGTGTGTGTGTGTGCGTGCATGCGTGTGTGCGTGTGTGTGTGTGTGTTTTTATTTTAAGCAGTTGATTACATTTGCACTGTCAGGGAGACAAAACATGAGAATCTTTCTTCAGAAATGTAAACCATAATTGTGGCAAATCATTTAATTTCACTATTATCAGATGGAATTTCATTCCGACAGTGTTCATCTGACTTTCCTCTTCATTAATTTGTGAAACTTATATTTCTAAAGTATGGAGGTCCCATGTTTATATTTTTGAAAGAAGATATAATATGGATTTGTGGGAGATGATGGAATATTTGTGCCTAACGTGGGCTTGAATAGTACGAACGGTTTCTGTTAAAACTATTAAAATCACAGTAATTTAAGTATTAAAAACTTGAAGGACCTGAAGTTATGTTAAGTCAACAAAATTACATCTTAGGAAATATGCATATTTCCCTTCTCGCCAGAAATTAGATGAGAAGATTGATAACACTCTCATGTCTGCACGCTTGAAATGAAGCTACCACCAGCAGCTGGTTATCTTAGCAAAGAGACTGGAAACACAGGAAAACATCTAGCATGGTCTGTTCAAAGGTAACACAATCTCCCTGCCAGCAACTCTAAAGCTTTGATTCGCATGTTACGTCTCCCGTTGTTTCATCTTTATCCATTCTGTTTCTTAGCAGGATGAAGTCACTTCGAGGAAATAGTCCAGTACAATTCTGTTTAAAACAAACAAGATATATCTTTTTAATCAGTGAGCCTTTGGTTAATTAAACTAAGCTAATCAGCAGCTGGCTGTAAGCCAGGACAAATTGTGTAATGATTGATTGAATGATAATATTAATGTGTCCACAATATGTGTTTTTTAAAAAGATATCTATGCTATTGTTGTTACTTTAAATGTGTCATGTTGGCCATCGATTTTCATTTTAGTCATGTATATGAACTGTTACAAAAATGTAACTTCTAAATGGTGAAATGTGTTTAAGAAAACAAGAAAAACTGCAAGTTAGTCTTTAAATCTGCTATGTATCACATACAATTGTTTTTGTTGGATGAAGAAAAGTATAAGACTGTAAATGATCTTCAACAAAAGTCTTTCAGTGTCATGCATCAGGTCATGGTTATATGATGTATTTGTATTTTTCAGACCCTTTCTGAAGATGCCATTCTGACAGATCTGAGATCTCAGCGCTGGTACCAGTTCAAAGTAGCAGCCATCAACAGCCACGGCAGCAGAGGATTCACCACACCCAGCAAACACCACATCTCCAGTAAAGGTAACACAAACACAGTCCAAACACATGCTCTCATTTTCTTTAGAGCCTGTTACGAGATTCCCACAGAGGGATGTTTCATCCTGCATATTTCTGTTGAATTTTAATATTCTGTCATAAGACACTGAGCAAAACACAGATTCCATTTGTGTCATTTTATGATCGATTTTACACCTCTCTGAGGAAAACTCATATCCCTTCCTCTCCTTCCCTGTTCTTTCTCTGTCTCAGAGTTGATGGATAAGGTACACACAGCAGGAGAACTATCAGGCAGTCCATAAAACACGGACAGGAAGCAGAAAATACACAACTGCACATGCATATATTCACACATACAGTACTTATTCAGTTGGTTTAGTTCCAAATCCCTTTTGTGGATCAGTGAGACAGGGTGAAAGTGAGAATAACACACGCATGCACACATCCACACACACACAGGTCCTAGCTCTAATGCTTAGCAGACTTAGGTCATATTGGTGTTGCGCCAGGATTGGCTGGTGATATAAATCCCCTGCCAGGATTGGCTGGAGCATGGTTATATGTGAATAATGACTTCAGGTTGGAACGAACTTTGGAAAAAGGGTCTTTATCAGTTGAGCACTTAGGGGAGATTACGAAGAGGTGTCTGAGATTTTCCACCGCCTCCAACATAACATCCAATCATAAATTCCTTATGCAAAAAAGTTTACAAAATACACAACTCGTGCCATGGTATGTTTGTAACAGCTCCTGGTGGCCACTCAAAATGTTAAAATAGTATTTGATAAGCAATTTTCAACAGTATTTACTTTATTAAGATGAGCACAGACATGAGATGCCTATGGAAATGCATTCATTTCCCTGTGCTATACTAAAAGTTCCCCTTTTGCAGTACATTACTTTTCTGACACATCATACCCAAACTCTTAAAAAGAAAAACAGAAAATTCCCCAACAGGATTTACAATTCGCTCACCTTACTCAGAGCTAGGCACCATTGAGAGTTGGGAGATGTGCACGTCAGTGACCTAAGGATACCCTGTGTAGGTTCCCAAAGACGTTTACATGTATCTCTGCAGGAACATAATTCCAGGTTAGGGCTATAGCCAGCAGTCGTTAAAACTACAATTTGTGCTTTTATGGTGGATTATGTGGGTTATTCTTTGGCTGGGAGGAGTAACTTTCTGAATGTTCTGCTTGTTGCCTGTTCTGCTGGAAGGTAGATATTACAAGAGCAAGGATATCTGTTTCCCCTGTTTCTCTATGCCTAACTATGCTAAGTAGCTGTTGGCTATAGCCGTATATATCAAAAATGACTGAGTTATTCCTTTAAGACACAGTGTTTGTCTGTTTGTTTTCATGTATGCATTATGAGGGTTAGGGTTAAAGGTTAAGGAAACACACACTTAAACCTCAGTAGGAGTCTGAGTCTTGTGTTTCTAATTCATTAGTCTGACCATTCTGGGGCTGGAGGTCAGGGGTCACAAATCAGGAAGCTGGCAGATATCAGGATGGTAGGAGTTCCTCCGCTGTGACCTGATGCTAACCAGACAGAGAATCTGAATTTGAAAATCGCTTTTCCTGACCATATTCAGATAGTAGGATTGCGCTGTACCTGCCAGTAGTAATTACGAGGGAATGTCTGGTTCTGAAACGCATCTTGAGGTCTTCATCTCATAAAGTATTTGGACTAAAACCTCCTGATTGAGAAAGACACACACAGTGGAAAAGGCCTTGGTGTGTTTTGTATCTAATCCAGAAATGACTGCTGACCATGAGAGTACACAAACAAGGGAGGTCCATAACTTTGATCTCTGCATGTGGGTCAGCCCTGCATAGCCTGTGGCCTGTGGGAAGCCTGCCATGGGGGATGTAGTTCTAATCAGATATATGTTGTAGTTTTAATCAAATACAGGATTGTGGCTTGAGTTTCTAATGGGATACAGAGCCAGTGTTGAAAGATCAGTAACCTCAGGATTTAATTTTGGAGACAAACACTGAGAAGTGGTGGTCGTTTCGGTCTGTGTTTTGGTAGCTACTGAAAAGAGAGTAGAGAGTATCTCTCACCTTTGATGCTGTAAATCTAATTGGCTTTTAGCCTTGAATGAGACTAAGACGAAATGTGTATTTCCCCCCCAGAACAACTTCTTTCTTTTTGCTCGGCTGCACATTTGACATCAAGCTATTAGACAATTCAGTCAAGCTGTTGAGCGGCCTCTGTTTTTTTGGAATCATGATCTTAACCCCAATTTGTCTTAACTAGATGTTCATATAGATTTAATGCTTCCTTAAGATGGGGCAGTAGATGAACAACACATTTTGTTGTTGGTATGTTATTGGTCCAAATGAACAGTTAGGATAAAAATCTCCAGTCTGTCCTTTTCAAGTGATCTTCAGACTTTTTTTTTTGCAACGGACATGCAGGCACTGGGGCTGAGAAGAGTATACCTTCATGTATATTATAATTTCATATGGTCTTCTTATTCATTTTTCTCAACCATCTCACTCTGCAGACCCCTCCACTCCAGAGCATCCAATAAATGTGAGAGTGATCAACCAGACTCTAGACTGGACGGGTTCAAAACCGGGCATCAAGCTCCCTGAAAGGTATCTCAGCAGTCTAAATGATATGGATGAATGTATTTGCTATTTTTTTGTTAGGTTAGTTGCTATGCTTTCTTTCGGGACTGCAGGCGGCCATTATGGGCTATCAATCATAAAATGCGGTGGAGTGTGCATGCAAATTACTGTTCATCATTGACCTTCTTCCAATCATAAATAGAAGCTTCCTTTCTATTTGTGTGCTGTAATGCTGAACAATTTCATGTAAAGTTCAGACCATGTCTTAAATGAGTAGCGATATTGATTTAAAACTTTTAATATCAGAGGTGAGGACCTAAATTGTAGCTTCCCTATGACATGATAAAATGTGTGCACATGCATAGATAAATAAAACAACTAAATTGAAAGCAGTTGTCAAACAAGTATCTATTTAACTGCCAGTCCCTGTAACTGCATTTACTTATAAACCTGACCTTCAGTTGTTTACATCCGTGTTGTGAATTTGTCTGACTTGTTGCTTTCCCCCCCAGGTCGAGGGGAAGTGGGGTCAAAGTGTCCGTGTTATTAAGCTGGGAGCCCCCCGGAGAGGGAGACCTGCCAGTCCACAACTACAGAGTCACCTGGATGCCTCGACATGCACATACTGCGCACAAACATACACACACCCTTAATGCGCAAACACATACAGTGCACAATAACATGCACACACATCATTCACACTCACGCACACCAGAACAGAGTAAAAAGGAGAGCAACAGCAGAGTGACTCAGGGGGTAAGGATTTTTTATTTGTACAAACATAATAACACTCAATGAAAGGATCCTGTAATAAAGGTAATAGATTGCTTGGCGTAGAAACCAAAGGTATACAAATCTGCCAACTAGCACCCGTAAAGCTCAATAATTAAAAATAGAAATACCATTTGTACAAAAAAAAGAAAGTGGACAAATGTAAATGTGTGGTTTTATGGGGGTTATGCCTCTTCTTGGCCAGGAGCATTGAGCTCGTGGAGCCTGCACTGGTTTCCTGGCAACCTCATGGTGAAAATGAAGATGTTGGCCAAGAAAAGAGATCTTCTCATCTTATTGTTGGCAAGAAAGCGATTAAGCTAGTAAAATGAAGCATAATGTTGAGGAATTGGATTAACCCTATAACCAAGTTTTAAGTCTGAGTGTTTAAATAGGTCTGTAAAAAAATTGAATTAAAATGGCACACATTACATACAGAAATCTACAGCTGCACCTGATGGATTTTACTGGGTCTGTAAACCCATGCACCAGACACACACACACACACACACACACACACACACACACACACACACACACACACACACACACACACACACACACACACACACACACACACACACACACACACACACACACACACACACACACACACACACACACACACACACACACACACACACACACACACACACACACACACACACACACACAGTAGCAACACGATGCTGAACTGAACACAAACAAGCGACCCAAACCTTTGAAGGTAGATCTCTTTTCTATTTCCACAAAGAGAGACACACACACACACACACACACACACACACACACACACACACACACACACACACACACACACACACACACACACACACACACACACACACACACACACACACAATCAAATATGTTTGCTTTTATTTGATGTTGTAATTAGGCAATGGCTTTCTGAACTCTTAATCCTAATGGCAGCCAACAACAACACAAGAAACGTGATCCCTGACAAAAGCATTAATGTCTGTTGCAAGTAATAAAAGGGTTATTCTCTGTACTAAAAGACATCAGCAACATGCACACCAACAACACAACCGCACACACACACAGTGTACACACAGATCCACACCCACACTTTTGCTCTTTGCCCTTTTCTTTAACATTATAACAGCCGTATAAGATAGCCAGCTCATCATGTAAACAGCACAGGCACCAGACACACACACACACACACACACACACACACACACACACACACACACACACACACACACACACACACACACACACACACACACACACACACACACACACACACACACACACACACACACAAGCATACACACACAAGCATACACACACCGTAGCACACTGTGTCCTAGAGTCCTTCAAATTAAATCCCTTGTATTGTTATTCAATGCATACTTTTAAACCAGCAGGAAACAAACAGATACAAAGGCGGTTGACAGTCCCAGAGGAGCATGATTGATCGGTAAAATAATTTGCTGAAATTGATCTGTGAGTTAATAAAGTGGTTTCTTCTCTGATGATTATTAGTGACTGCGACCTTTTGTTCAAGTTTAATATAGAGGTTTAAGTGTGACCTTAAAACACGAAAAAGCAGAATTGATTCTAAAAATTCCAATGCGAATTAGTTTGATGTCGGGCAACAAAAACAAGACTGATTATTGTAAGTTTGCTGAAGCAAAGATATGACAACAAGTTCAAAACCTGGTGTCATTCGGCATTTATAATTCTGTCAGTAATTACTGAAAACCAGGTGCTGTGGTGTTCACACAGTGGAGTGGAAAATAAGGACAACAATTCTTCAAAATAAAGAGGGATGTTTACGTGGATGTCACTGACGGAGACAGTTGAACTGAAGAGAAATAATGGCAAGTGGTACACAATTTATGTTAATCATAGTATGACACATTCTGTTCAATAGTCACACAGATTTGAATTGAAATGCAAATGTATTGGTCAAAATATGTGCCACCAGAAACTGATTTAAAATAAAATGAAATGCAGCTGCTCAGAAAAATGTAATCCCCATTGAAATTGGTCTATTTACATACTTCCACATTTAGTTCTGTGAATTAAAATCAAGTTGTGCAATTGAATTTCGACTAATGAAAAGGATACATGTTTTCTTGTTTCTTCCACTTTTGCATTAACAAACCATTAAAAGATACTCTCATGGAGCTCTGCAATTCTCCAACCAATTGCTCTTCCTCAATGAGCAGATGTGTGTCTCAGTAAACTGAAATTAAATGAGGAAAACTGAATTTGGGAATCCATTGTCGAATTTTCAGGATCAAATAAAATGTTTGAATTTGTTCCATAATATTTAATTCAGTTTCAAGTCAATACAAAATATTAAAGTAGATTACATTTAAAATGAAACAATTCAGATTCAGTTTTTCAATGCAGTTATTCACAGAACCTCATTATGCCCAAAAATGTACCAAAACAAGCATGAATTATAGGGATTGACTGTGCAAAGAAAATAAATATGGTCAGATGTTTCATCAAGGTGCTCAACAAGAAGACAGGTGTTTACCACAGCAGCTCTCTCATGTGGGAAGCGTCTTTCTGGCATGGTTGAGCTACAGTGCATCTTTGACTGCACGTTAAATGTTATCTGAGAGAGTGAATATGTTCAATTTTCCAGAAAGATAATAGCTGCAGCCACGGGGGGAAAAGGAAATTGGTTAGATAAGCCTTAAAAAACAATGTAAACTGAATGCCGTAGCAACGCCAGAGACTACATTTCAATCTGACTAAGCACAGAGGGACATTCGTCGCTGCCAAAGACAGGATTTTTCCATCATAAAAAACTCTGGAAAATTGACCTTCTTTTTAAAAAAAAGTGCTGTATCCATGGCTCCCAATCAAATACAGACACTTGTAGAATGTATGCCAAGGCTCAGTGAAGGTGCTCTGGTGGCCCCTCGTGCTATAAAACTATTTTATGCTGACATTTCCTTTACTTTAGTACTTTATTTTATTAAACACAAGGGGTTTGTTGTTTTCTCCCCACATTGTACCCCACAACCTCCATTGTCTTCTTGTTGTTCCAAGTCTGCCAGATTTGATACAAAGTTTACTGAAAGTGCATGTAACAGGGTGACAGAAACTATTGTACAGAGCATCTAACTTGTTGGTTCACTCCCTGAAATATATACGGACTAACAATGCCACTAACAAGCAGAGTATTCGACAGGTAGATTGGTGTTTATCCTCTTTAGATTAGGCCTGAAAACAGATTGTAGGGAGCAGGGAAGAGAAAAACAAGGCAGATCAGTGCGGTGGTGGGCAGGTAACAAACAGTATTTTCTTTAGAGAACCATCTGTTAGAGGAAGTAGAGTCTGTGAGGATCTGTGCTTAGCGAGGGAAAAGAGGGCAGGTGAGCTGATCTACGAGCTGAGCAGGGATGTGTGTTATCGGTGCGGGCATCCTCCCCTCTCATAAGCCCTAAAATCACCCGGAGTACTGAAATAGAGAAGAAGACAAACCCACACAGGGAGAAAGACAGAGAGACAATCCTGTGTTCCAGTAATTAGTCTGTAGAAAGTGAGCTGTACTATAATTCGGTCAGTCAGATGGATGTCTGCCTTCCAGACATTAGACTTAGCCATTATCTGCACTCATCCCTCCACTGTCCATCTATCCATCTTTCCCCCTCACTCTCCCCTCGCTACCAAATTCATCCTTGTACCCTGTCCCACCATCCATCCATTCACCCCCTTTTTTCTCCCCCGTGTCCTCTCGCCACTCCTGCACACATTAGACCCATCTCATAATTTATGCTCAGCTCTTCCACTCTTGTCTCTCTGCTCCTTTCTGTCTCCGGGCATCACATCTAACCATATTTTAAACTCATCCCTCCAGTCCTCTCTATCCACACATCCATCTCTCCCTGTCTCTCCTTCTCTCCCCTCTCCTGCAGACATTAGATCAAGCCCATTACCTGCGGTGCATACAGTACACTCACAGGAATCAGTTTATTTGTCACGAACAGGACATGTGCAGGAATCTGTCCTTGTGACACTGATGGAGAGCTCTCCACAGTACAGTGTCACATGGTCTACACTAGCTTTCACATCCAATGTTTCACTAAAGGACAAACAATTATCCAAAAATCACTCTACAAACACGTTCACTAATGGTATGTTCAAGCCGCAAGGTATGCAGATAGGGCCGTCCCTCTACTCATGTCCATTCATCTCTCTATCCCTCTGTCTTATCTCTGCAACCTCTCCTCCCTCCAGACATTAGACGGATCCCATTATCTATACTCATTGCTCCACTCCTGCATGCATTACCATCCCTATACCTCCCTTTCTGCCTCTCCTCCTGACATGAGATCTGAGCCCATAATCTGCACTTATCCCATGTCCTTCCATCCTTTCCATCCATCCCTCCCTCAATGCTGGCTTTGCTTCACATTACCTGTTGTCTCCCCCCTCTTCTTCCCTCTCTGTCCCTCTTCCCTCTCTCTCTGCCAGATATTATGTCTTGCCATTATCTACACTCATCCCGCTGCTCCAGTCCATCCATCTATCCTCTCTCACTTCCCTCTCCACCTCTACGTCTCTCACCTCCAGATAGTCACCTATTATCTGCACCACTCTCTCCATCCATCCTTTCTCTCACACATGCACAGCTGGCACACACTCTCAGTCGGCAAGACCAAACACACATTCACACACACCGACCTGTCCTTTATCTGGACAGACCATCTTAACAGTCAGCAGTGAAACCAGGATGTAGCACAGTTTAAAAAGGTGGGCAATCCAAGACCTCCAAAGCAACACTAATTTAAAACTCAGATAAAAAGATTTGTATGTGGGTTTGGATATATCTTGTGGCTGCATAAAAAAATCAATTAGAAAAGTTATGGCATGTTTGGGATATAGTTAGTGCAGTTAAATAAACTGACTTGGTAGTGAACCAGCTGAAAAGTATATTAATATATAAGGTCTATAGAATGCTGCGAGAAATGTGTCGGGTGGTAAATCTCAAT